TATTATATTATATTATATTATATTATATTATATTATATTATATTATATTATATTATATTATATAATGTAATATAACATAATATAATATAATATGTGAAAAGGCGACCACAAGCAGCGTCAAATTTTCGAAATATACTGTAATATTATGTAATTTAATATCATGTAACATAATGCTATAATATAATATAACATAGCTACATGTAATATAACACAATATAACGCAATATTATACGAAATCTAACTTATTTTGCCGATATTTTATGTCCACGTCAATGCCATTATTTTTATGTCAGTATTTTTTATATTTGTATACCTTCCTACACTTGAGTAAACCAATTTGTTCAGCTGTACCAAGAGTTGACATGTTCCTTTTTTTCGGAAGACTGAATGCGCTCTCAAATCTAAATATGTTCGTCCCCTCTACCTGACGATCATTACTCACCATCTTTGCGAGTGACATTTTGGGATTCTACGGGAAATCCATAACACTCCATAACACTTTACATCCATCAGTATTTCACAGGAAATTGGGAAAATCCGCTGGCATTCTCAGATTCAGGTCTGCAAAGAAGGCAGTTACGTGCGTGCGTCAAGCCACAGAACAAATTGTCTCACCCTCATACTGTAAAAGGCACAAGAGTAGTGGCGATCTATCCTAAAGTACAACTCGTCTACAAGTTTTCTGTCTGGTAGGGCAGCTGCCCGTTTGATAGGAGTTGCTCTATAGACTTACTTGTTTATAATTCTGTTACTTCTAATATAGTTTTCTGCAAAATCGTTGCAATCATCTGCAAAATGTGACCTTAATTCCTTAAACGGTTTTCTCTGCGTCCCAGTTCGGTTCGAGCAAAAAACAGCGCGCACTTAACGGACGAGAAATGCGATTATTCCATTTTACTTTCAAGGTTGAATATTTAAAGATCCTATCATTAAATTCATACTCACCATGAACTCGGCAATTCATCTTGAAAAAAATTGCTCATTATGTCAACGTATACTTGAATCTGATCGTGGGATAAGCTTGGAAGCTGTTCTTTATCAATTTTTCCTGTTCTCGAATGCATTGTCGGGGCAATGCTGTTCAGGCCTAGAAATAGGAGGTGTTTACAAAACATACCTGTAGAAGCCGTACTGGCCTTTTAGTCCTGATTCAGAAGAAAAAAAACTGATGGAAATCGAGGAACTTACAGGAGCGATTTTGCTCAAATGTTCCCATTGATATTTTGCTCTTTTTTTGTTCTTTAACTTTATTTTTTAATTGATAGTCATCAGTGGAAACGAAAAAATGAACAGTAACTTAAACCGTAAAGGGCGAAAGTAATACCTAGTTTAAACATCTGGATATCCTTGTTTTCCAGTGCCTTGCTTAGAAATTACATGAACTAATTGACTTGATTACTTACTTGACTAAATATGTCTTTAAAGCTCAACTACTTATTTGCATTAATTGAAGTAGTTGTCTTTAGCATAATAAACTTTTACAGGTAATGCTTGCTTATGTGACGAAATTTTGGTGGCATTTGATTGTACTAGCTCTAGCCGTGGTAAGTTGAAGTTTGAACTTTGTATTTTTTTTCTTAATCTTTTCCAGTGACGTTGAGAAGAGCCGTGCGACCGCGTTCAGAAGGTTGTTTACGATGTAAGGCCTCAAATTATTGTTAGTGGTATATGACACAAATTCGTTGCGCTTATGTGCACACCTCAAGGCACAGCTAACGATAAAAGTGCGATAAGATCCCTAAAACCGACTTAGCCGACGTACACACTCAAAGGGGATGGGTTCTCACGCAGCTCGTATGCGGCTACTGTAGCAAAAAGTACGCCATGGCGCACACATCTGTACAGCTCGTCCAAGATCCCCTTCCGTAAAACTCCGACCGTGAAATTTTCGTCTGACCCCTATAACTACTATTCCAAAGCCGTATATTTTTGCACTATCCCGGACTATCACTTCTATTATTCATGGGAAACTCGATACACCATAATCATGTGACGACGCCATTGAAATCTATAAGACAATCTCAGTAGAAGCACTCTCAGGAGCTCCAAAGAGCAATTGATCTATCGGTGAGTTGGTCGAAGAACTGGCAACTCAGAATAACTTTATTCGTAAGCTGCTTATTCGAATTGGTGGTTTTTTGCACTCCAGAATACTCAAGGCAGAGATCAGGAATCAGCATTATGGACTGACATCTTTAGACATGCGGCGCAGGGTTTTCGATCTTTGTATGGTTCACAAACTTGTACACGGCACTTATGGTCATTCAGTGTCTTCAAGCTGACACATTTAGGACTAGGGGCGGCTCCATGAAGATTTCTTTCACGCGTCCCAAAACTAACTTGCGAGCGAGTAGCTTTACCTTCAGGGCCCGCAATGATTACCTAAGAGTGGTAAAAAATATATCTGTCTCTTCATCGCAAGCACAGTTCAAACGCCAAGCAGTTAAGTTGCTGATGAAGGGAACTGGACGTAACGCTCCCTGAGACTGATTATTTAACTAATTTATCCTTGTAATGCGTATTGATTGTTTGTACAAATGTTCGATATTTACATTGCGTTTTGGTTTCTTTCTCACGTTTGCCTTCCGCAGGTGTAATAAACTTTTAACTTATAACTTATGGTGTAGTAAGCCTTCAAAGCGCAACAGGAAATTTTTGAGTGTTCAGTTTGGAGAATGTGTCGTGCTTTCTGTCTTCCCTGAGAATACAGCCATTTTTGGAGCCTCTACATACATAACTGAAACTGTGGGGCCACATACTTAGAGCTCCTCTCCGTCTGAAAGTAGAATAGCAGAAAAAGTTTGAACGCACAGAAGATACTAAGCGACATTTTGTTTGGGGATTATTCTGAATTAGTTTCAAACTTGAAACTGTATTAAAATTAATTAGGCTAGTTTCGAATTGACCACTTAAAATTATGAGTAGGGTTTCAAACCCGTGTTTGATCCGATTAGAAATTTTGTTGTACGGACATTTCGTTTTACCCTCGCGCACGCTGTCAAACAACTAACTTAGAAGAATGGTTTCATCGGCTTTGGAGAGATTTCATTCGCATTTAAAGGCACCGTTCACGATAAAAAAGTCATTGAGTTCTTACCTTATTAATACTCAGCGGCCTCCATGGTTGTAGAAGGGACCCTCTCACTCCCCCAATCTCGACGTCCAGAGCATAGTGGCAGCTCCGTTGTTGCCGTAGTTCGCGTGACCGCCACTCGATCGGTGTCACATTAGACGAGTATCGAGACAATACAGATCGCTATTATTCGTTCTAGGACCCACGCACAATCAGTTAATCGCCCAGTGATGAGGCGATGTTTTTCTCCCATTCTTTTTTCCTCTGTTTTTCTTTTTACTGCCGCGATCCCTTATTCAATTTCTTACTCCTAGAGGCTGAAAAAGGTGAGCTACTTTTGCTGTTACTAAGGTTTTTTTTGTTTATTTATGCTTATGAGTGAATGAATTTTTGCTTACCATTGTCTGTTCTTCGCACCAGGACGCACACGCGCGCAGTGAAACACACTATTTAGCTCGTCCGGACGCCCCACTCTTCTTCATTTTTCTGGTTTTATTCATGTCCAGCCCCCTTTTTAACGTTTTTTCGAAGCCTTTTTTCACTTTGAAAACACCAATGCACGCAGTTTCTTCACCTCAGTCGCACTAGTTTCGATCTTGTCTTCCATTTTTCAGCATAATCTGGATTACCCAAAATTATCGTGAACGGTGCCTTTAAGTCGGCGTGCCGTAAGGATGGCTCCTTTTGCGGTTGCCCCACCTTTACACCTTTCACTTACACTTCCAGCATGGCACAAATGTATCGAATATTCCTGTAACATCCTAGAGGATACCCTTGGTTGTCATTTGGTACAACCATTTCCAGAGCTATGGTCGCATAGCACTTGAAAGAATTCTTTCTTCAGGTGGTCTTCACAGTACTATGTCAATTCTATTGATTTCAGTACGTCGGCATCAAATACGTAGGCATTACGCAAACAAAGACTGCAGGGTCAAACTTGGAGGGAAGGAAAACTAAAGATGTAAAGGAGTTTATTCTCAAGGAGGTGAAGTTTTTGCCATGTTCTGGAGCAGTTCTTTGTGTTTGTTTTGGTTTTTGTTTAATAATTTCTTAAGAAGCGACGACTACTGGAAACGTATTGCGAAGAATCATCAAGTTTATGCTATACTGTAGAGGACCATCCAATACTGGAGAATAACGAGTAAGATTGAATAGAGCAGAGTTTTTCTTGACTAAAAACGAGAACAAGGAAACCTGGAAAGGCATGTGAGCCTTTACACCCACAAAGGCGGCTTAGCTGGCATACACACCCAAGGCGGACTAGTTGTCAATGCTGTACAGGTTGCATCATTCGCACCGGGACCCACACCTTGCAGCGTATTGCAGCTAGCTGTATGCAATGGCGCGCGCGTTTGAACAGCTCGCCATATTCCTTCCATACAGGCTTTCCAAAAAAATCTCATCAAACCTCTGTTTGCCTTTTTTGAAGTTTCATATCTCTCTAAATACGCCACTTTTGCGTTTTCTTCGCCACTTTTGCGCTGTTCTGGACTATCACTCCCATTACTCGCTTAGAACTTGATAACCCAAGATTATCACGAACTATACCGCTAATCCATAGAGCTCTCGCCTTCTCAAGCTGCTTTTGCCCACACTTATCTCATTTTGTCATTTTATCCGACCAACTGTTGTAGAATTAAGTAAAAGTCAATAAAAAATTCAGCATGGGAAAAATATGGTACTCGTTGATCCGAGGTTTTTCATTGTAAATTTGCAAAATATCAAGGTGTTGAAAAAGCAGAAACATTCTAGACTGGTTGTAAAGCGCCTCTTACTCTACAAGGATTCTGATCTGTTCTTTGTTTCCACAGTTGAATTGGAAACACCTAAAGGTTTGTCGTGAGTTTTTGATTATTCAGTCGTGTTCTTGAATGCGGTCTGCCAATAACTCGAAAACTGAAGTAAACTGCTACTTCTAATGCGTCTAGCTGAGGCGTGTACTTTAGAGACACAGTTCACGATAAAAATGATTTTTGATGTAGCTCTCTGGGTTGAACCTTGACCTTAAACAACGCACGCACCCAGAGGCGAACGGGTGATATAGACCATTGGCTGCTTTCATAGTCCGCCGGCGAGCGAGCGCGCCGGCCGGAGGTGGTGCTAGCCATGAGTGCACCGGTCGACGCGGTCGCGTCGCGCCCAAGCCTCCGAAGGCACCACCTCCAACCGGCTCGCTCGCCGGCAGGCTGACGGACTGTGAAAGCAGCCGTTCGCACCAAGGCGCACGCGTTGCATGCAGGGATCGTACTGTAGCGAGCTGTACGCAATAGTTCATTTGGACAGCTCGTACGAATGCCTCTTTCATGTGATTTTTCCTGACACATTCTTGCCAACCCTTAAACTTACAACTTTTCGAAGCCTTAGATCTTTCTAGGTTTACCGTTTTTCGCCGCCTGTTCCTCTTTCCTTCGCCATTCTGGAGCTTTACTTCATTACTCGTCTGAGACTAGATACCTGAAAATTATCGTGAATGTGCCTTCAAGACTGGAATGCATGATACCTTCTGATTTCCGTGACTTCCTCTTTACCATAAGATCCTGTCATAATCATTTGAGTGAACAGTAACGGTTAGGGAAGATGGTGGATATTTCTGGCGATGACGGCGTATTCATATCCAGGATGACATCAGCTCTGCTTTTAGTAAACACAACTTGACTGTCGAAAGTATCGCAGAAATTGCAAGTTGCAACTTTATTATCTGAAGCTTTCCACTTCTCTGAGACAGGCTTTCATGAGCTGTCATGACTTTTGGCGTTCGAACTTTGTGGTGGATAATGTCAAGCGTGTTTGTGAAAGAATCCCAAAACAGGATCTTTTTCAATAATTATAGATCTTTTATAATAGATGCTCTTTCTCCATCTGTCCCGTAAACATTTTATCGATTATTTATTTACTCATTTATTGTGTGTTCTTCAGAAGTGTGCAATAGGAACAGAAAAATACGATATTGAAAGTTCGATTTGAAGACACAGTTCACGATAAAAATGGCTTCTGGGATTTCCCCATAGGATGAATTTGAGGCCCCCCTCCTTATACCATATCTGGTGCGAAAATGTCGGAAAACGGCCTAGTTAGGGCGTTATAAAGGCTCAAAGATTGGCTGCTGTGAATCCTCGGACGAGTTTCACCGGCATTGTAGAGGCTGCACAGATCACAAAGGCACCCATGTAGGAAGTTCAAACAACTTGTCATGACTCATAGCGGCAGAAGGCAGTGCTGTACAGTTCTGACTTGATGTAGTCAGCTCTTTGTGCAATTGCAATAACTGAAATCACGTCCGAATACTCCTTATGTATTATTTCCGTCATGGTAATCTCGTCCAACCTCTATTTACCCTACTTTTTAGGAGCCTTATTTTTCTCAAAATCGGCAAATTTTCTCGCTTTCTTTACTACCAATGAACTATTCCCAACCTATACTTACACTTTTCGCTAAAAAGGGGTACCTCAAAATTATCGTGAACTGTGTCTTTAATGCTGCAGAAGGCATGATAGCATATTAGTCGGACTCTGTTTGTTAGCCTACACTATGTATTGCCTGAAATTTTCAGTGCTTACCTGGGACAATTTCAATTCTCGTCAATGGCCTGTTAATAAGCTGGTAATTCACAATGTCTACACGAGACTCATGATTGCCATGGGTTTCGTTATGGAGGTATTCAAATAAAATATGTTTAGTTAATATTTCAGGATATTTTTTAGCTTGGCTGCTGTTCTTCTTTTTCCAGGCACTTGAGTTTGATTCACTGGAATGGCAAAATACTCTCATGATTGGTCTAGGAGGCGGAACACAGAACAATTTCCTCTCAGCGGTGGATTTCATAATGGTACGAAGTTCATGCTTTTGAAAACCTACTGGTAAAAAGGATGGCTATACATGTAGCGGGATAAACATATGTTTGAATGGGCAGCCGTTCTTGGTTGAAGCAGTGCTCACTCGAAGGAGCTTGGTTTTCGAACAGTCTTCGTTGTTTGAAGAAAGTCCGTTGAATCGTACACTTGTAATTATTAACATTACCAAATTAACTTGTAAAAAAACATGCGCCTAATGTACTTGTTACAAAACACAAAAATATTCCTATAATAGTGGATATTTCACCCTTAGTGCTACTGCCTAGTCTGGTGTAAAGGCACCGTTCACGCGATACAAACGGTTTCTGAGATTTCTGCTCAGGATGAACCTGTGCCCCTCAATTATAGCACAAGGGAAGCTGTCCGTTCGGAAGACGGCTTAAATAAGGCGTAATAGGGGCCCCAAATCCACCCTAAGAAATTCTCACGGCGTTGTAGACTTGCGGAGGATACACCATTCGCACCGGGACGCACACGTTGTACGCAAGCAGTCTACTGTAGCCAGCTGTACATAATGGCATACACATTTGAGCACCATCTGGGCAGCTCGTCCAAGTACCTCTTCCGTGGTAAAGCAATATATATATATATGTATGTATGCCGATGGTCACGTTTTCTTCCACCTTTTCGCACTAATCTGAACTGCCGCCCCTATTATTCGCCTTCAGCAACATAGGTACGCTAGGATTAACGTGAAGTGTGCATTTGAACTTTCTTCTCATTAATGGCTTGCGAAATTGCATGTATTATTATCAAACAACCTGATATTGTTAGGCTGTCCATAATTCAATTGATAATATCACAAAAGTACAGATTTCTCCCGGGATCCTCGGAATCTCCCGTATAAATGCTTCAAAGGACAATACTCACATGTATGTGCTCAAACATACCCGGAACTTCCATTGTATCGAAGTCGCTAGACCCTCCCATCTACTTGTTTGAAGCTTTGAAATGTTAAAACGATATGTGCACAGAAAAGCAAAAAGGATCTCTAAAGTCAACCACCCGACAAGAGTTCCGATAGGCTTCAGCTTGGGAGTGACCGCACTGGGACTCGTAAGGAATACCCTTCGGATATGGGTAGATGGTTCGACCATTATACTTAAGTAAGTAAGAAAGATATACACGATTATGCTATGCGCATATATGCAAGGTGTACTTCCATTAGAAACCCCATAGAGGCCTCTATTAAGCTTGACTGGAATGATAGATGGCAACTGCTGACAAATCTGTATTTTAAGGTTAACCTTACAACAGTAGAACTGAATCCACTCATGGCCACTATGGCAGCGGACTGGTTTGGATTAGAGGAATCTCGAACAAACAACGTACTCGTTGAAGATGGAGTAGATTTCCTCTCTGGAGCTGCTCAACGAGGTTCCTTTTGATCGTCTACAATTGAAATTTCTTTTCAGTGCTCTTTAAAAGCGCAGCTCAGGATGAGAATAATTTCTGAGATTTCTCGCTAGAATGAATCTGTGGCCCTTAAGGATGACACAAGGGTCGCTTTCCGGTAGGAAGAGGGCCTAGGTAGGGCGCAATAAGGGCTCCAAAACCGGTTTGGCCGACACAAACACTCAAAGTGAACGTGTTATGCTGGCCTTGTTTTTTACTGCACTATTCAGAGGACGAGAAGAATAGTACGCCTAAATGAGACACCCAGAGGGCAATCTCGTACAACCTTTGCTAATTTTTCGAAGTCTTGTAGTTTTTTCTTAAGTTCAGCAAATTTCGCGCTATCCTCGCCACTCTTGTATAATTCTGCACAATGACTTTCATTGAAGGCACAGTTCAGAATAATTTTGGGTAGCCAGATTATGATGAAAAATCGTCGAGAAGATCGAAAATAGTGCGATGAAGGTGGAGAAACTGCGTGAATCGGTGCTTCCAAACTAAAAAAGGCTTCGAAAAACCGTTAAACAGGGGGCTGGACGAGAATGAGTTTAGAAAAATGAAGAAGTGTGGGGCGTTTGGACGAGTTATACAATGTGTCTCACTGCGCACATGTGGGACCTGGCACGAAAAAGTCAATGGTAAGCGAAAATTCATTCACTTATGAGCGTAAGTAAACAAAAAACCCTAGTAACAACAAAAGTAGCAAAAGTAGCTCACGCCACTAGGAGTAGGAAATTAAATAAGGGATCGCGGCAGCAAGAAGATTAGCAGAGGAAAA